GAAACACAGGCTTTTCAGCACTCTGGAAAAGACGATGTTAAACGCCATCCTCACAAACGAAATTCTCGGAACTACAGGTGAGCATTGACTTTTAAACAAAGACACACTGAGAACATTTTACACACACCATACCAATATTTTGTATTTCACATCACAAAAAAAAAAATACAAATTTTTGTTATTTATGTCAACATGTGTCTCAAATTTTTATTGTTTATAATATAGTTGTAAGTTTTAATTCATTTCATTTTCAATATAAAAAAAAGAGAAAAGGATTCCTCCTACACAAATACATATAGCAATGGGGAATTACTTTAACAACACTCAAATAATATCAAGTTAGGGTTACTACTACATCAACGCTAATTTACCTACCCTGTTACAGTGTTGACCCCAGACGGACACCATTAGTTTCCCGAAGCACATCAAGACGGTACTCGATTTACACGACCGATATTTTCCTCACATGTTCTTGGTCGTCCTTTCCTCCCTTGATCCAATACTTCTCCTGCTTCCATAAATTTCTTGTGCCATTCATGAATTGACGTACGTGACGCTGGATCTCTTCTATGCTTAGTTCTGTAGCTTCACTGAGTCTGCGTATCTGATTATGTTTCAATAAACCATGACACACATCGTGTGAGGAGTAGCCATTTTTAGGGCTTCATTTAACAGTACCTCTTTCATGAACAGGATACCTGAAACACACAAATGCAATGTGATTAAAAACTTTGATAACTACTAAGTACATAGAACAAATCTGATTAAGATATCTCATCAATTGCCTTTGTAATATATTCTTTAAATTGTAAAGAGACTTTATGGGCACCTTGTATATCGCCGTCGACTTTATCTTGTATCCAAGAATTTATTTTCTTCTTTACTGATCGCTTCTTTTCTGATGATGATTTTGATGATTACATTCACCGCCAACGAGCATGTTCAGGACTAGAAGCTTCCAGTTTCACCAAAAATTGTACCCGTCATCCATTCCCTATCGCCATTTGACTTTGCAAGTGTTGGTTGAAGGAGAAAGAAAATCAGACTAGAAGAAAATGCCGATGACGTAAATTAGTTGAAGTGAACGACACAATTGATTTGATGACCTTCCTCTACGACACATAGGGAAATGAGACATGCAGAATCCAGTTATGAAACTGCAACGGTCTGCCGCTGACTCTGTTTTAATTTCGAGTGGCGCCTTCTGTAGCATGTCCATCATGCGTAGCCCTCATCATCCGCTGGTTCAACCGTTGAGATCTGTTGTAATCGTTACTCGCCTGTCCCACCGTTGGGGTCTTTGATTTTGGTCGCGCTTAGTCTGAGTCCTCATCTTCGACTTTGTCGCCAAGCGTGGCCCTACCATGAGTTTAAAACTCCCGACGGCATTACTCTCAATACAAAATATATTTCAGAATAAAAGAACAAAACAAACAAACAGAAAAGGCGATCAACACGGGCACAATACAAAAAAGCCGTTATAATGGTTGATGAAAGACACTGGACAATTTCTAATCAAACTTTTACTGGAAACTGTCGCGGCCGCCATTAGCCGCTCCTTAGAAAGACGACCTTGACCTTCACAACCCCTGATCTCGCAGATTTAAATCAAGCAACATGCGAGAAACCGGACGACTAGTTCAGTATGGTTGAGTCCAAACCGTACCTCTTGAGCATCGGATTAGGCAGCGCTTTTTCAAACATCGAACAACATTGAGATTAATTTAATATCTACGGTTTTCTACTCCTTCAAGCCAGGGAGTACTTGAATACATCGCTCCACATATTATCGGCCCCTTTTTTCGTCCAACTGTGGGCCTGGATCAAAGTGTAGTACGCTACCTTTGTAAGCTTCCGGTGCTTTGTCGAGAGAATACTCTTCGGCGCCATCCCGTCTCCGCGGTCGATCCGCCCTGGAAGACGTATCCCCTCTCTGATCAGCTTCGCCAAGTGTTACACTTCGGCGCGGTTGATCTGCCCTGTGAAGTCGTATCTCTACTCTGACTCGGCCCTGTTTAGGGACTCCGTCTTCGTCAAGTATTACACTTCGGCGCGATCCCGTTTCCACGGTTGATCTGCCCTGTGAAGTCGTATCTCTACTCTGACTCGGCCCTGTTTAGGGACTCAGTCTTCGTCAAGTATTACACTTCGGCGCGATCCCGTTTCCGCGGTTGATCTGCCCTGTGAAGTCGTATCTCTACTCTGACTCGGCCCTGTTTAGGGGCTCAGTCTTCGTCAAGTATTACACTTCGGCGCGATCCCGTTTCCGCGGTTGATCCGCCCTGTGAAGTCGTATCACTACTCTGACTCGGCCGTGTTTAGGGACTCCGTCCTCGCCAAGTATTACACTTCGGCGCGATCCCGTTTCCGCGGTTGATCTGCCCTGTGAAGTCGTATCTCTACTCTGACTCGGCCCTGTTTAGGGACTCAGTCTTCGTCAAGTATTACACTTCGGCGCGATCCCGTTTCCGCGGTTGATCTGCCCTGTGAAGTCGTATCACTATTCTGACTTGGCCCTGTTTAGGGACTCGTCCTAACCAATACAACGAATCCCGTGCGACATCGATCAACCTGCTGCTGTTCCTGACAATTTTCCCGTCTGGCAGTCGACCAGCTACCGCCGACTTTCAACTTTACATTCGTTTCGCCGATACGACCGAAATCAACTACCCCTAAACAAAACCAGTCATACCGGACCCGACACTCACCGATACAAACATATTTCTCCAGAGTACACTCTTGTATATTTTGGATAAATAAAATCGACGTTATTGTTTCTTAAACCTTTGCTTTTGTCCCCTCATTGTCTTCTTAGCTGTTCACACCTTTTTTCGTAAAGCTTGCGGGGGCGACATCCTTATCGGCCCCGCAACAAAACCAAGAAAATAGTTTGAAATATAGAAAAAATCCTTAACAAAGAATTTTGTTGGTCATGAATAGGTTAAGATTGGGGAAACATGCTGTTGGGAGTCGGTTCAACAGGGCAGTGGTTCGCAAGAAGAAGCTGCTCATGTGAACTTATTTCTCGCCGATGGAATACGGAATGAATGTCGTTGGTTTGCTACTATGTAAGTAGCATGGCGTGTTCTTTCTGTGTAGGTTTTACTAAACAGGACCAGGGAATGTAGTTCGTCTGAGTACTTTCCGTGGTGGTAGCGGTAGAGCAGTGAAAATTTACCATATACCGCCTATGGGAGATAGGTAGAAGAGGGTTGAATAATTTTTTTTTCAAATAGCTTATTTTTGGAAATGTATGCTGTTACCGTGTGTCTTTAGTTACCCGCTCTAGAACACATGAATGGAAACGGTAGACATCGTCTGAAAAATATTCTATAACGACGACTATTGTTATTTGTAATGTTCATTGAGGTTCATTTTCATCAACACTGGTAATATACAGCAAATGCAAAATAGAAATTCATTACTTAACAGTAAAAACAAAATAGATTTATTTTGTCTTTACCAATTTTCCAATGAAGAAATACTATGACAAGCAGAAAATATATTTTGTCGTGAAAAATTATTCTGTGAAGTTGCTTTGCAAAAATACACGGATATTTTTTTCTTTTCCAGGTTCGAATTATTGAAACGCACTTTACACACACACACACACACACACACACACACACATATATATATAGTTAGTTTATGAAAAACTAGGTAATCCGTAGGCTGTGGTGAAATAATTTATTACATGGAATCTTTAAAGTGGTCTGTTTTTTTTATTTATATATATATATATATATATATATATATATATATATATATATATATATATATATATATATATTAGTTTAGTTCATGACCAACGAAATTCGGAGGAGGCTCTCTTCAGGCAGGTCGTCACGTGAGGTTGTTTCTCGTCCGGCGTTTTGAACAACTGCTGCTCGCCACTTCGACCCCTTGTATTTATTAGCATTCACCTAAAACCGGCGTGTGACGTGACGCGGTTAGGGGACTCGGTACTTCTCCTATCTTCCAATAAGAACTCTTATGCTGTCTGGGTCTTGAAAATTAATTACATTTCCAAATCTGGAGATTCCCTTTTTCTATTGGTAGCAGTAGCACTCCGATAACTTCTTCTTTCTCTTATTGTCATCTCACACCAATACTCTCCAATGGTATTTCATCTACGCCTGTTATCTTGGCTATTCTTTGACCAATTGCTCTCGACTGCTTGGCGTGGTTTGACTTATGTTCATTAATTAAAAGAATTATCATTTCAAATTTTGCTCACGCAAAATTTCCTCTCCCGGCTTTTTGTTCAAAATCAGATATTGACCAGATAGCCCTCTTTCCCAACCCTGTCAGGGTCATTGTATTCCAACCAAAAGGAAACTTTATTCTCGATAACGACATTTTGGCGGTAAAATAATATGTTCTATTTATCAGGAAAACCGCAGAAAACCTGGAGATCAACATCAACCATACTGATGGAAAGGCAGAAAGGAGTCTCTTAAAATTCATCAATCATCATAGCATGCAGTACCGAGATAGAAAAATACCTATTGGCTATCAAATAGTGAATTTGCGTTTCCAAAGACCCCAGTTAAAACAATCTCTGAAAACACTTGAACTCGGTTAATTCCGCTTTGTCCTTAGCAATTCATTTGGTCGCTTCGTTTTTTACGCGTTATCAACCCTTTTATTTAAACGCAGAAAATATTTTTAGATTGTAATATTTTTTGTGGAAATAATAATAGTTTAGTGCTAAATGTCTTGCTAATTAACCCATAGCTGGGGCTGAAAGAGCTTGATTCATACCATTCATAAGATTATTTCAGCATAAGTAAATATAACGGGAATTGAAATTCGTCTCTCTGATTAACAATTCTGGGCCATTATCCATTACACCACCCGCACATCCAAGCTTGCAACACCTGGTATTCTTAAGCAGTCACCCATCTAGGTACTGACGAGACTCGACTTTGCTTAACTTCGGTGATTGTACGAGAACCGGTGTTTCAACGTGATGTAGCCATACCACCCGCATATCCAAGCTTACAACACCTGGCATTCCCAATCCGTCACCCATCTAGGTACTGACAGGGCTCAACGATGCTTAACTTCAGTGATCGTACGGAAACCGGTGTAACAACGTGATACGGCCGTAACTCCTTATCAATTCAGTCCTGAAGAGAAAAAACAGCTTTATACTTAACTAGTTGAAAATCCTCTCTTAGAATAGGATTTTAATGTAGTTCCTGCAGAAGGTCTAAATGTGACCTTTGGCTGCAAAAGCACATTATTTGAAAACCATTGAAATCATGAACGCTTCGAGTCGGGATCAAAGCGAAGTATCTGTTCTCCTGATTTTAGATGGGAGAAGGCGCTTGGTTCCGGGAATTCCAACCTTGTGGCACCACTTTCCTCATTGCACTAAGAGAGGTGGAGTCAATGTAATATTGACGCTAGTGGGATAATGGTCCCGGGGACTAAGTAATGTTTGCCCTTGGCCTATATATTTGCGCTCTCTGCATAAAAAGACATTGTATCAGATCCTTGCTTTAGAAGGGAGGTCCTGCAAATAAAATCATGAACTCTTGGATTTCATTTAATTTTAATATTGGAAATTCCACAAAAGATTTTAAGTACCCACATTTTTGCAAATATAGTTCTTTTACTGGATTGTTATTGAAGTAATAAACAAAGGCAGTACACTAAACACTACACTAATCTTTTTGTGAGGACTTGTAAATTAATAAACCTCCAGTGATCCGAAACAATTCTTAGAAAAAAGTAACTTCTGATTAGAAAATGTTTACTTCCATGTCCATACGATTAAACGCAAATATAATGATCCTGGTTAGTAAACTTGATGGACACAAAGTAAAAGTTCACTTTAGAAGTGTAATTACATTATAAATTGAACCTCTCACTAAAAACTTAATTTTTTGATTTTCAAAAACCAATATGAGAAAAAGACATTCTGCGGTTCTCTGCCATTATAATCATAATGTATTTTAGGAGTAGGAGTGATAGCGGTTCGGATTGAGGAATCGGAGAGCCGAGTTCGAATTCCAATCGAATCCATTATATTCACTTACATGCTAATACCCTTGGGAAAGGTATGAATCCTCTTCTCCCCTAGTTATAGGATAATAGTAGGGCAGACCTGGTTCTATAGCCTTGGACGGCAACTGGTCTACGCGGAAAGAAATGGCAACCTGCTGCAGGAAAAAAATCTGCTTCGTCAGTCATGAATCCTTTTCTTCTTCTCTCAGCTATGGGTAAATAGCAGGGCAGACCGGGTTCTATAGGCTTGGATGGCAACTGGTCTACCGCAGAAAGAAATGGCTACCTATGAGGGAAAAATCTGCCTCGAAAGATCGAAAGATACATGATCACCTAAGCGTGTATCACGCATGGCACATAACTAATTTTGATCTCCTTTTTGAAGACGTCTAGAGTCTTGACCTTGACTGTCGAAATAAGGGGAAATGTTCTAGCCCTTCATTAACCGATGTGAAAAATAATATTTTCGTATGTTCAGACAATAGAGCGACGGTTGAATTTTTAATAGACGTCGTCTGGTGGATTTATATCGGCTGTTAGTAAAATATGTCTTGAAATTTACAGAATAAACCTAAAGTAGGTCTACGGTTGTTTAATTATTTATATACTGACGTGACTTAGATGGAGCTGTGAATAGTAATAGTTACTTGAATATGCTTCGTGACGTGGTGGTATCACAATTCAAAACCGGAACTAACTACGCTGAACTGCTTTTTTTTTTCAACAAGATGGCGCACCTCCTCTTTATGCTTTGACAGGAAGGGACTACTTTGATCAGACCTTCCCACGACGTTCGATCGGATGACGTGGCAGCATTGAATGGCCACCATGTTCACCCGACTTCTTGGAGGGCGTAGTAAAGAATAAGGTTTATGAGAAAAAACTCATCCAGTAGACGAATTAAAAGAATCTTGGAAGCATTTATTGACATTCATGCGGGTAGGAATTTGTATCACAGTGTTCTGTATGTCACAGTGTTCTGGAGAGGTTTGTGGAATGTTGCAAGGTCGAAGGAGGGCATTTCGAACACTCACGAGATTAAACAGTGTTAAACAAATGTAATTGTAATAAATAAATCTAAATTTAAAAAAAAAACAAAAACTGGCCCATCCTGTATATGTATGTGTAGCAGAAAAACACAACATACACATAGAGATAACAAATTAAAGCCAAATTAATACAATTATTAGAAAACATATATCACTAACTACACACCAATTTTTGTCTAGCACACACTCCGCACTCTACTAAAAACAAATTGTAAAACAAACACAAATATACCAGAGTGCTGGCCATTATCGACGCGACTCTTGCTTTCCACAGATGTCTTCAACTACGTCCGTGTGTTTCCCTGATATAGGCTATAAGAGAAGCCAGAGAGAGAGAGAGAGAGAGAGAGAGAGAAAGAGAGAGAGAGACCCACATACTTTTAAATCTGTTAAGGAATCATTTTAATAAAGCGTTTATGTAGTTTTGCTATTTTTTTCCATATCACACTGAGCTCAAGGCGGTCACGTGCAGGAAGTACAGACTAAAATGGAGCGGACAAGCGATAAATAAAACTTAAAAAAAGGAAGTCGTGGAGAGCCATGATCGTCTACATTCTGAAGGGACACGGCACATAGAAGAAGAAGAATTAGTTGCATGGGTACATAGACTTAGGTCAATGAAAGAAAACAGTTGAAAATTGCTTTTTTTTAGAGAAAGTCATTTGAGATGCATCCTAAGGAGATACTAATCTGACATTTACTAAAAGTTCAAAATGTCGTCTGCTGGAGATTTTCACTTCCCCTCCCCTCAGGAAAAACAAAACAAAACAAAAAAACAAAAACAAATTTAACTTAATAATAGTGTTGCTACATTATTCCGTTGTTGTGACGAACAATGACACTGAGTTGGGCGGCATAGTGTACTGTAGAGTAATGGTTAGTGAACTAATCTGGTTGACTTTTGTAGACTATTCCTATATTGAATAGCAAGTTTGGTCCTTACTCGGTATCCCATGCCCGTGGTATTCTGCCAAGCTAAGTAGTGAATAAACAGTTTAACTGTGAAAGCCAATCCAAATAAGTGAAGGTCAAATTGTTGACCTTTCCTGTTTTCCTAGCCGTTCCAATTGTTATCAGTGACCTAAAATAATATTTAAACTTTTATTATCTAAGCCGTTGTGAAGATATTTGGTGACAATAAGGTGAATGTAAGGAGGGGTGGAAATATCTCTTGCCCAAGGTCATTTAATATATAGTCGCTGATGGAATATTTAAGCTTTGCTTATTGTATTTCATAAACTGTTCGCCATATTGCATCTCTTTTTTTTGTAATTTTTTAAAAATAAACACAATCATACTCAATTTACAAATGAATAAATAAATAAATAAATAAATAAAAAGGTAAAACCGTATTTTAGCGTCGGATCGAATCTGTGTATCAGAAATGAACAAAAAAAAACATTTATAACAAGAAAAATGTGTATTTTTAATTTTATTTAAATAAGAGAACAACTTTCGCTTACTAGCGAAACATATCAAAAACGTCCGTTAGATGGCGCTATTTAAATCTATAAAAAGGCAAGATTAGAATTGTAATAAAACCTCTAAACATATAATGAAAGTGAATTTATACGCTTATTTTTTGTTCTTGAGAATTTACAACGAAAGATATTAAACGCTTTCACTTCTTTTGTCTTCTTCGTCCTCTTGTTTCAATATGTAGTAATTCATATATAGGCGCGTGGCCGGGTGGTTCGATTTCCGACCATGTGACCCGGGTTCGAATTTGGGAGGCTCCTTTGGAAAACCATACCACGATCCAAGCCCTGCGAGTAAAATTGGGTAGACGGAACTAGTGCAAGTCATAGTGACCGAGGGTAAGGGTCTTGTGTATACTGGCCTTGTTCAGACTGTTAAACATGCCAGATAATGTGCTCTTTTACAGAAACTGTAACTAAGGTTCTTTAGCGTTCGGTTACCACGTTTTTTTTTTATCAATGTAGATTTCTGTGCAAAAAGCGGATCACAGATCTTATCAAGTTTAAAACATATTTTCAGAAAACCTCAACTTCTGATTAGTCATTTAATATTTAAATCATGTTCGAATAACATCGACTTAGTTCTTTACCTGACTAAAAATAATTCCGCCTCAATGCCGTTCGAGCCTGTCATGTGATTAAGTTGATTATAAATACTAAACACGAATTCGTTCTTCCTCTTCTTCCTGGATTTCTCTCGCTAGAAAAAATGTAGTCGTAAAGGAAATTGCGTTTCGACCCCTTTGCGGGCGGGCGTTAAAAACATATTCGCACGCATATACGTACGTACGAAACTTTCCATACTACATTACAAGCATACGAAACTTTTCTAACTTCATTACGAACATTACAAACTTAATGACAAGCAACGGAAACTTAATTACAAACATTACGAAACATTCACTGCTTCAACTCTTCTGAAGCTAAAAGTTTATTCAACATATTCTGTGCTTTATAATTCATTCAACTCTCTAAAAGTGAACATTTTGAGCGGCAAGTTCATACAACTTTTATGAACTCAGATAAAAATATATTTCATTAGCATAAACTTCAGTCGAAGGGACATAACACCAAGAAAAATTAGCCCCAATAACTGTACATCATTATACAAATATAAATGTAAATCTCGTTATTGTTTATTATCAGCAATACATTTTTGGAAAGAAAATTATTACCAGCAATAAAAACCCATTAACCCATTTGTCGTTAAACAATAAAAACAAGCCTTCCTTCACTCCTTTTCTAGTTTTAATTTATCAGTGTCTTTGTGCAGACGAAATATTGCAGTACCGTTATGTTATATATTCTCTATAAATTATATATCATTTTCGGTAATATTCTGCTTTCGTAGTAGGTTAGAAACTGTCGAGTGTTTACTGAACTGCTTTTTCATAGCTAATAATAAGAACACAAGACTAAATCTTTCATACTTAAAATAATAGTTTATTTACTTCTGGACTCCGTCAAATCAACGTCGACTGTATCGAGGTTATGTGGTTTCGTGTCTTTCTGTGAACGTTCGATCTTCTTACGAGGAAATGAAGGATTCGCTCTCTACCCTCATTGTCCGAGCGCTTATCAAAATTCGTCTCATATGTAGAGGGTCTATGGTGGAGTCTTCTTTTTTATGCCTTATGTCTTTTCAGGACGTGGGTTATCATGGATCTCCACAACTTCCTATCTTTGTAGCTGTAAACAATTTTTATCTTTCTGCTATACCTCCTAGTCCTTGTTCTGCTGGCCATTTAGACAAGCTCATTACACGTTGTTTCCATTTACCTTTCTCAGTTGCAAGACGTATTGTGAGTATCAAATTAACCAAGCCCGCTTTCCTCATCGTGTCACAGAAATTTCAGTAGTCTCTTTCTGATTCTAAATATAAGTGTCGTTTTTGTTTCCATTGTTAAAAAGAAAATCTTCGTTGTTTTGTTGCTATGGTATTCTCAGCATCCTTCTGTATAACCAGATTTCTGTTGTCTCTTCATCATCTCTTAGGTACACCTTTGTGCAAATTAATTGAAACAAAACGAATACTTCCGTTATTATTTACACAGTGCACATGTTAGTACTTCGTATATCCATTCCACGAAGTCGTTCCTTGCAGATTGACCAGAGATTCTCGATTGGATTTAAATCAGGAGAGTTTCTGGACCAGTCTATAGTTCTTTGATTTGCCCAATGGTACGGTTTGCTAGTGTGTTCGTGCAGCGTTACAATTTTCGTATGTTTCCTTGGAGTAACGTCCATCGCATACAATGGCCATAGGACAACTAATCGACAGTCGAGACAATAGTGTCTGGACGTGATAAAAATCTGATACAATCATGGATGACGCAATATTTTTCAAGGCCAAACAAATTTCATCACACACCCCGAAAATAGATTCATATTACTATGTGACGTCGCCCCCCCCCTGGTCGCAGCGTCGACTGTGTCGTTCGATCTCGTTCGCGGCACCAGTTGTGACGTCACGTGCTCTCCAAGCTCTGATATCCTGGTCACGGACAGCACCAGTTGTGACGTCTTTGCCGCGGCGTCAGCTGTTCGCTCCTCGCTGCTCCAAGTGTGACGTTCTAACCCTTTGGTTAGATGAATACCAGCCTCGTCGTTCCCAACTCGCTTCCAGCGCCTGGTTACTAGGGTAACTGTACTGATCTCCGGTCTGCCTACCCACGTTGTGATTAGATCTTAGACAGACGGGATCAATCAAGGATTGGGGCCGTATGCCAGCTGGGTTCAACGGGGGTGATAACACACAAGAAAAAGAAAAACTCACGAGGCCAAAAATTATTGAAAAAAAAGGGTAACAACCTTTTATATCTAAATGTTCGTTACACAAAATTGTTCCTACCTCCCGACCCGTTTTATGGACTGTGGCACCAAGCTTCTACCATACAACTTTAAGACTTCGAGTTGCTTGTTCTCTAGAAATTTGCATTTCGGGGTGTGGTTTGGTTTCGACACTGGGCGCTGATCTCTACCAGTCGTTCACGGCCGATTTCCCTCGCCGTCAGTGCGCGAATTAACTTCTCTTCTGCTTCGGGTGGACGAATTTAATCACTTCGACTTGAGTTTGGATGAATTTATTCACTTCGACTTGTCTTGGACGAATTTCTATTCTTAGGCTTGGTTTGATTCCAACTTCTCCTAGGCGCAACTGCAAGTTAACTTCTTCTTCGTCCGAGGCGCAAACCCAACTCCAACTGCAACTTCTCTCTCGCCGTCCGCCCTGCAACTCTTCTGCCTGTCCGGCCTGCAACTGCTTTCTGTCGATTGGGGTCCTGCTTTTATTGACGCCGTAACAAACTGGGGTGGGTCTGTCGGCGCCAGGGTTTTCTTGATAATTCTAAAGTCGTATTATTTCTGATTTCCCATTATCGCTCTTACTTTCACTCCTACTTCCTTACAGTGCCTCTGGGGGGAGGCGCATACCCGCTTCCCCTGGTCCCTCGTATGTCAGGTGACCGCTCTCGACCAATGGGGTCCTGGTCGAGCATCTTTCCTCCTCCCTCGCACATCACGTGACCGCTCTCGGCCAATGAGACTCTGGTCGGGTGTCTCTCCTCCTCCCTCATGTATCATGTGACTGCCCTCTGGTCGGTATCTTCCCTCCTTCCTTCGTGACGTCTCCAATCGGGCGTGGACAATCCGTGGCTTTGTTCTGGGGGGAAGAAATACCTTGTTTAAAAAAACAAAATCCAAATTGTCCTTTTCGTACGAAAATGACGATCCCGGTTTCTTTCACATTTGGCATCTGTCAAAACAGCCTGCCGCTAATTAGATGCGACCTAAAGAAAGAATTTTTCCGACCTGTCGGCGTCTTCCGCGAGCTAAAACAAATATTTCACCTCTTTCTTTCGCTCGGGGCCTGTTAACAAAATTTTAATTATCTAAATTGAAAATATTCT